GCAAGTGGTAACCCTCCACGTGGCCGAGCCGGGGGGCAGCGTGGCAGCAGAGAGCCAGCTAGGCGCCCCTGACCTGCAGCAGATCACCCTGGCACCTGGTCCATTTGGTGGGACTGGCTACAGCGTCCTCACGGCACCCCCTATGGAGGAGGGGACATCAGCTCCTGGCACGCCTTACAGGTGAGACCTGCTGCCTGCAAGGCCCCCTTTAGTCATTGATCGGCATGCTGGGAGGCCTCAGATAAGGGCCCTGCCCACCGGAGCCTAGGGGCAGGAGGCAAAAATCCTAATACGCGTAACATAATTAGCCATAGGAGTCGTATCTTTCTCAGGAGGTTGGAAGCTACTAATTTTTGCCCACTTAGATGTTCCAGGCACTGGACGTTCGGATCTCACCTAAACCATTCCCGTGAGATCCACGTTTCTCTCAGTTTACAAGTGAGGAAATAGGCCAGGGACATTGAGTGACTTGCCTGAGGTCAGAGAGGCAGTAAGCGAGGAGTCGACCCCTTGGTTCTAAAGTCACGTGCTCTTTGTTCTGGATGATCCTGAGGGGTTGTCCATTCTGAGCTTCGTGGCAAGCTCAGGCTCGTCGCCGGCACTGGAGGCCTGGCAGCCGCACTCTGCACTGAGCAAGTTCGGGGCAGAAATATTTGTATGCTCCCTGAACTCCGGGGCGGTCTGAGAAAGCCCTTAATCCAAGCACTGAAGCGCCACAGTTGTGTGGCTGGGATAGGAATCCAGATCCCTGGGCAGCCGGCGGGCAGCCCAATCTCAGCGTCTGCCATCTGCTCTTGGTCTTTGGGTACTTGCCAGGCCTGCCGCACTTGGCCAGACCTGGGCTGGACCCCTGGGGCTCTCCGCCTCACTGCCGCCCTGCCCTTCAAAGGAGCCAGATGACTACTGTTGAGCAGGACGATACATTGGACCTGTGGTCACTATTTATGGAAGAGACAGTTGAGGTTCAGCTGGAATTCAGACCAGGGAGTCCACCTGTGGTGGCAGTCACCCCCTCAGTTGATGACTTTCTTGGGGAAGGGGACGCCTGTGGCCTTCTGTCCCCTCCTAGAATTCACTCCTCCCCTCTTCGGTGCTCACAGTGAGGAGCCCCCAGGGGAGGCAGCCCAGGCTGTGGTTGTGAGCGACTCCCTGAAAGAAGCTGGCACCCACTACATCATGGCAGCCGACGGGACCCAGCTGCACCACATCGAGGTGAGGCTTGGGGTACCAATCCCTCCCCCATTTCTCATCCTTCCCCAGTCCTCCCTAGTACCTCACGCTCCCCCGTCTCTCTACAGCTGACTGCAGATGGCTCCATCTCCTTCCCAAGTCCGGATTCCCTGGCATCTGGAGCCAAGTGGCCCCTACTACAGTGTGGGGGGCTGCCCAGAGATGGCCCTGAGCCCCCATCTCCAGCCAGGACCCACCGGGTGGGAGACCCCCAGGGCTCTGCCTCCCCACCTCCTGTGGCCAGCAAAGCCCTGAGCCTGGGAGTGCCGCCGTCGCCACCGTCCGCAGCCACGGCCTCCTCCAAGAAGTTTTCCTGCAAGATCTGTGCTGAGGCCTTCCCTGGCCGAGCAGAGATGGAGAGTCACAAACGGGCCCACGCCGGGCCTAGTGCCTTCAAGTGCCCCGACTGCCCCTTCAGTGCCCGCCAGTGGCCCGAGGTCCGGGTAGGTGCCACCCCCTGTGCCTCCCCTCACACTCATTCGGCCACTTGTTTGTGTAACAGACCTTAACTGAGCACCCCGAGCCAGGCCCTCTCCCCCTTTTAGGGTCACAAAGGATTCCGTGAGGTCTCAGCGCTCAGTCTGGTGGGAAACCATCCAGACACGGTGACTGATGCCCCACAGTGTCCCTGGTGTGAACAGAGTGCAGACAGCAGAGCAGACAGGAATGGGTCGTGTGGGCTTGGAGTGCTGGTGCTGGCCGACCCGGGCCCAGAGGGGCAGAGGCGCAGGTGTGGTGGCAGGAGGCGTGCTTAGGGAAATGCAAGTTGTCAGGAAGCGGGAGAGCGCAGGGTACGAGGAAGGTGGTGGAAACAGTGTGGAGAAGGTGAGGAGGGCAGGTTCTGGGCGGGAGTCCTTCCCCCAAGGATTACCGTTTGCAGACCCAGAATCCTCACAGCAGCTCGGTGACGGGAGCAGGGCCCGGAGCCCTAGAACGTCGGGGCTGGGAGAGCCCTTCAGAGGTTCCCTCATCTGAACCTGAATCTTGCGTTTACGCGGGGTAAACGGAGTCTGGGAGCAGGGACAGGATTTTCTAAGTGACCTAACGGCGGGGGCCTGGGACTTGTTCTCTCCCCGCACACGGCAGCACCAGATCTCGGTCTGGTTTGTACCGGCGCAGCTCCCGTCCCCCTGTGGACACATTCCCAGACAGCCCTGTCCGTGAGGTGCTGTGTGCCCGCCCAGCCAGCGCCCCCGCCTCTGCCCCGCCCCCAGGCGCACATGGCACAGCACTCGAGCCTGCGGCCCCACCAGTGCACCCAGTGCAGCTTTGCCTCCAAGAACAAGAAGGACCTGCGGCGGCACATGCTGACGCACACCAACGAGAAGCCCTTCGCGTGCCACCTCTGCGGGCAGCGGTGAGGCGGAGGACAGGCGTGCGGGGGCTGCTGGGCATGCGTGATGGGGCCGCCCCTGAGCCTTTTCCCCCTCCCCTCAGTTTCAACCGGAACGGGCACCTCAAGTTCCACATCCAGCGCCTGCACAGTCCTGACGGGAGAAAGACAGGGACCCCGACTGCCCGGACCCCAGCCCGGACCCCCACCCAGACCATCATCCTGAACAGTGACGAGGAGACGCTGGCCACGCTGCACAGTGAGCTGCCCCTGGGGGACCAGGGTGGGGGGCTGGGGCCTTGTCAGCTTCCACCCGAGTCCCTGCGTGAGCACCCTCCCCTCTGTGCCCAGCTGCTCTCCAGTCCAGCCACGGGGTCCTAGGCCCAGAGCGGCTACAGCAGGCACTGGGCCAGGAACACATCATCGTGGCCCAAGAGCAGACCGTGACCAATCAGGTGAGCGCCTGGGCTGGGAGGTCACAGGCCAGGGTGGGGACACAGAGCCGAGGCTGGAGCTGGCTTGGTCCTGGCAGGAAGAAGCCACCTACATCCAAGAGATCACCACCGCGGACGGCCAGACAGTACAGCATCTGGTGACCTCCGACAACCAGGTGAGCACCCGGGCCAGCACTGCCCTGCCTCCGCCTGCCCCCAGGCCCTGCTTTGGGGAGGAACAGTACTTTCCAAACCACCCCTCCCCGGGTCCGTGCTTGCAGCTGCCATCATTTATGCTGGGTGTCCCTGGGCCCCTGCTCGGTCTTCCTCGCTAAGCTCCCGGTTCAAGGTCTCAGCACATGCCTTTCCTCCACCCTTCTCCAGGTACAGTACATCATCTCCCAGGATGGAGTCCAACACCTGCTTCCCCAGGAATACGTGGTGGTTCCAGAGGGCCATCACATCCAGGTAGGCCAGGCCTGAGCGGGAGTGGGGAGTGAGGGCAGGGGCGTACAGCCTCCTTGGTCGTCACGTTGCCTTCCTCCCTCCAGGTACAGGAGGGCCAGATCACACACATCCAGTATGAACAAGGGGCCCCTTTCCTTCAGGAGTCCCAGGTAGGACCTTTGGGGGGATCAGAGGGAGCCAGGGCATAGCCCCTCCAAGGCCGGATCTCATTGGCTTCTCCACTCTAGATCCAGTATGTGCCTGTGTCCCCAGGCCAGCAGCTGGTCACACAGGCCCAACTGGAGGCCGCTGCACACTCAGCTGTCACAGGTATGGGACGGGAGCCTGATGACCATGGGGACCCAGGCCGAGCTTCTGGGGCCTATGGCTCACTGTCCTCTCCCCTCCCCTGGCAGCGGTGGCTGATGCTGCCATGGCCCAAGCCCAGGGCCTGTTTGGTGCAGAAGAGGCGGTGCCTGAACACATCCAACAGCTGCAGCATCAGGGCATCGAGTACGACGTCATCACCCTGACTGATGACTGAGCCCCGAGGGCCCAACGCAGACCGTGGATGTTGGGGCCAGCTGGGGTGGGGGTTGGGGGGACCCGCTGGGACTCACCTCCCTGTTCCACCTAGGGTCTCCAGGCACTGAGCAGCCGGTATGCTGTCACTCTGAGAGAGCCAGACCTGTGCTGCTGGGTTTAGGGGACAACCATGGGCCCCAGCCAGGACATGCTGGGTGCCCTAGCCTGCAGGCAGGCTTTGGGGAGAGAAATTTATTTTTGGTTGGACCCACTGGCCCCTCAGTCTCAATAAAGGGACCAGAGTCCAGTCCTGACCTTCTTACTTTTGTCCGCAAGGACTTGGGAAATGGAAGGAAGGAGGAACATACAGCTCATGAGAGCTGCCTAGCCCCACAGTGCAGCCCACCCTGCCTCTGTAAAGTGTGGCGGCCCAACGGCAGGGCAGGCCCGTGGGGCAGAGGCCCGATACTGGGAGAGATTGCTGAGCTGGTAAGAACCCCCCCCCCCAAGCACCTTCAGACCTCCTTCCCTTCTCCTGGACCCCAGAAGAACATCTGCTCCCAGCCTAGAGGTCCTCAGAGGGCAGCACAGCCAGCTGCCAGGGTAGAAGACTATACCCTGAAGCCCATGGTGGCCCAGAGCTGCTCCTCCTACTGACCCTGGGCTGTGAACCCTAGCTGGCTGCCCCCTCACTGTGGCGGCTCTAGGTCGAGCAGGAGTCTTGCTCTCTGCCTGGGCACAGCCTCCAGTCCTCTGCTCCCTGGAGGGTAGGAGTGCAGGCCTGGCTGTGGGAGTCTGGGGCCTGCAGATAGATGATGCAGGGCTGTGGACTCCAGACTTGCTAGACACAGAGACCACCAGAGATGCAGTTGTGGGGCCAGCAGGGTGAGAAGTTAGATACTGGAGCCCTGGGTTGGGGTGTGAAGGCCCAGGGGTCATAAGAAGGTGAGCCTGGATGTAGAGGGTGTGGTTCCAGGACTAGCTCCAGGTTCTCCGCCTTCTCAGCCCTCAAGACCCTCACGCATTCTTAGGGGGGTTTCTGTATTTCCTTTTACAAATGAAACGATGGTGATAAGATAGTAGAGATTAGGGGAGGACGGGGGAAGGGATGGGACCTATTTACATGGGAGATGGAGTGAGTTTGAGGTGAGGAGTTGGGGGATCGGGCAGGGAGGGGGAGCCCTGGCAGAGGCATCATCTTCCTATGACACTGGCAGCCTGAGTCCTGCTGCCACCTCAGGGGGAGGGTCCTGGGGTCTGCTCAGCCCCAAAAGGCCCGAGTCCCAGCAGTCCACACCAGCGCCCTGGGGCTCCTCCTCCCCGCAGGATGTGTTAAGTGGGGTGAGGCTCGCGGCTAGGGCCCTGTTCGCGACCCGAGTCCCGGTCCTTGTTCTCTGAGCAGGAAGCGGAGGAGCCAGAGCCGTGGCTGCGCCCTGACTGCCGGTAGGCGGTACTCAGCTCCTGCAGCCGCTCTGGCGTCGGCCCCCACTTGGCAAAGCCAGGGTCGTTCTGTAGGAAGAGCACGGCCGTGTTGTGGACAGCCTTGTAGTGCATTTCTTCCCTGTGAACGAAGGAGCAGCTCAAGGTGGGGCTCAGCCTGGCGTGATTGCCACCCCCCGTGCCCTCCCCGGGCACCCACTTCTTGCAGACGTGCTGGGAGCCACTGCGGTACTCGTGCTCGAAGGCAGGCAGGACCAGCTGGTGGCGTTTGAAGCGGCTCTGCTCCATGCGGGTGAGCGCCGGCGTGGGGGGTTCTCGCCACTCGGGGATGAACACGATGAAGGACAGGGGCTCTGGTGAGCTCTCGAGCAGTTTCTACGGGAGGGGGCACGGGGTGGACGTCAAAGGCTGCCCACCAGGTGGCCGGCAATCCTGCTTGCCACCCCCACCCCCCACCTGCAGCAGCGCACCCACCTCAAAGTGAGAGACCATGGCATCCATGAGCTCCTCGCAGAACGGAGGGTTGGCCTCAAAGGAGCCACTCAGCGGGGAGAAATCCAGACAGGGCCTGGGGACAGAGGTGAGCATCCTAAGCACCCCACGTTGTCAAAGGGGTGGGCCCTTGTCCGGCCCTGGGCCAACACGCATCCCTAATTTCATCCTGGGACAAGATGTGGCCGACTCCATTGAAGGGCTGAGGATGGAGAGGCTCAGGCTTGGCAGCCAGGTCCACCAAGCCACTTAGTGGAAAGGCTGGGGCTCAAACCCAGTTCGGACTCCGCGCTCACCACGGCACAGGCCCCAGCCAGGAGGTCCCCAGGTGCTGAGCCAGCCCTCTTGTTGTCTCAGGCCTGTCTCCTCTCACCCGTGCTCACTGCCCTCCATCCTCCCGTGGTAGTGTGAATTACCACTTCCCGTGCCTCTCCGTGCCTGGACCAACTCACCGAGAAACCCACAGGCTGGGGCAGGGGCTAGCACAGGCTCCCGCAAGTACAGCGACCAGTCCAAAGTCACACAGCTAGCAAGGGGTGAAGGCAGGGACTACACCCAGTACCGCCCGATTCCAAAACCCTAAAGCATTAGGAAGTAGCCAGCCCAGGTGGCATCTCTGCTCTAGAGGAGCCCCTGTCGGGCCTGCACAGAAGGGCCCGGCAGCCCCCGGCCCTCACCCGCGGGAGCCAAAGTAGCCGTCCGTGTCCGGGAAGGCAGAGCAGTACTGGCGGAAGTAGCAGTTGAGCGGCGAGGCGAAGCACTCAAAGCTGACGCCGAAGAGCCGGTGGAGGGCCTCAAAGACGTGCACGGGCAGCGATCCCTGCAGGCCTGTCCCCTCGTAGAGGCCCACGCCAAACATCATCTGCACAGTGGCCGCCGTCAGCCTCCGGGGCTCACCCCCCGGCCCCCCTCCAGCGGAGCGCCCCCCCCCCCCCCCCGCCGCTGCCCCAGGCCCATACCTGGTACCGGCGGAGGAGACACCAGACGCGGGGCAGGAACCTCTCAAAGGCGGCGTCGTCAATGCAGCTGTAGCGGTAAAGCAGCCACTGCGGGGCAGAGAGCGGTCCTCCGACAGTGCTCCCTCCCTCCCTCCCTCCCCGCTGGCCACCTGCTGCGGACACTGGCTCCTTCTGCCTTCTCCCTTCACCCCAGCTCTTACCAGCTTGCTGAAGTAGTTGCGGCTGACCTTGACCATCTCTCCCTTATACCGGATGCAGACCACGTTATTCTCCATATGCATCTCCACGCTGGGCATAGGGGGCGCGGACACGGCCAGCCGCACTGGGTAGCAGTACACCAGGCGGGGCTCCACTCCTGGGGCCTCCACCTCCTCTGTGGGCAGGGAGAGCAGTGAGGGGCCACCCTGCCTCGGCTCGGCTCACTCGCAGTGCTTAGTGCGTGCTGGGGCCTCACGTGTGTCCCAGCGACCGGGGTAACGGGAGTCTCGTCCCACAGAGGAGCAGAATGCAGCTCAGACGGTTTCGTAACGGCATTAACAGCCAGGAAGTCAGCAGGGGCAGGAGCTGGTGGCCTGGGTCGACGTGCTCGGGACTGGCACAGGCCCCCAGCTGGTCAGACAGGAGGAGGAGAGCTGCATAGCTCTCCTAGGGACTGCGGTACCTTATTTAGGGAGCTCTCTGGGCCAAGCTTGGCTCAGAGTTACCCGAGTACACGTATGAGCTGTGGCCAGGCACGAGAGCGCGGTGTGGGGAGACGGGGGCTTGCAGAGAGCAGGTGCCAACGCAAGTCCGCCCAACTGCTGACCCCCGGCCTGTCTGCACCACCTTCTGGCTCTCCCTTTCCCAGCTCTTCTCCAGTTCCTAGAGGAGGGCTGGAACCCCCGAGCCCAAGGACAGCAGGTCCTGCTCCAGACACTGCTGGGGGAAACAGACTTCCCCAAAGCAGCCTGCAGCCTGGAGGCTCAGCCTCGCTTGTCCCCTCCATCAGGGCCCAGGGAACAGAGTTGATGGCCTCACAGCTGGCTCCCTGCCGTTGGCTTCCTACCTGGGATGTTGTTTTCTTTGAGGATGGCAAGGTGCTTCTCACGGATCCGCTTGACATACTCCAGGGAGATGTGGTAGATCTTACTACAGATGCCCTCCACGGAGTCCTTGGCCGCGGCGGACACATGGGGGCCGCACTGCCTTCGCAGGTGCTCCAGACGGTCCTGGAGGAGACACCCCCGATCAGGGCTCCGGGGCGCCGGTGGGGGAGGGCTGGAGGTGTCCAGCAGTCCTTGTTTTCAAACACGGCTACTTAACTAGCTGTGTCACTTAGACAAGTCCCTTGGCATCTCTGAATCTTACTCCTCAACTGTTAAGGGAACACAAAATACTTACCGGATAAGACAGTTTGAGTATTAAATAATTGAGGGCTTAACCAAGCCCCTGGCATACAGCAAGTGTCCAATAAATGCCAGCACCTCTAGTGGGGGTTACACTGTGCCAGATCCCATGAGAATTGCTGGGGAAACAGACAAAGCAGGCACAGTCCCCACTTATAAAGCATTTGCCACCTACTAGGGAGAAGAGACCATTACAAAAAGGGGTCCTTGGTCATTGCAGATTTGAGATCTGAACTTTTAGCAACTGGCAAGGATTTAACTAGGCATTTGTAATTTTGCTGAATCACACGTGTGAAAGTGATGAGTGAAAATGAGTCACTCTGGCTAGTGAGTACACCTACCTTTGTCACTCTACGTGTCAAGTACAGTTACTATCGTGAAGTGCGAAACCTTGTCTCTTGTGAAAAATGATCCTGAAAAGAAAGCCCATTGCTAGTGCTGGCGGAGAGTTAAAGAAGTGGCGGGTCTGGGCCAGAAAACAGAATCGCTGCAGACACAGTAAAGCAGGCACTGAATCTGGTGCCAGTTCTTCACTGTGGTGAACGCACACACCCAAGAAAAGGCAGTTTGTCCACCTGTGTCCAAAAATCTATTCAAGGGAGATGTTCAACATTCATTAAGTTGAAAAAACAGCTACTTATGGTGTGTGGCCGAGCACAGGATTCCATTAAAGAACCTTAATGGAGACCATCTTTAGGACAGAGCCAGGAGCCTGGACAAACATCTCTACATGCAGGAGTTTGGGGACTGATGAGCATCAAAGGTCTGCTGAACCACACAACAGGCTGCTGTGGGGTCCTGCCCGGCCTAGGCAGGCAGCTGGAGGAAGGAGCCACAGAGCCTTGCCACTGGCCTCCTTCCCCAGGGCCACTCACCATGTAGTCCTCCTTGGAGGCTGAGTGGTCCTTCCGCAGCCAGCTGAAGGTGTCCTCCACGTTCCATTTGACCACCTTCCTGCTGTCAGGGGACGCACTCCTGCCAGTTGAGGGCACATAATGGAGCCGGGGGTCGGGCATCTGCTCTATGCTTACTCCTCCCACCCCATCTGCACTGACATTCTTTGGGAGCCGGCCCTCCTGCCACCAAGAACGATGACCGAGCTCCATGAGATGGGCCAGAGAGCCCAGGACCTCCCCACTCTGATCACACACCCAGCCTGCTGGGTTATGCCTAGAGCAAACCTGGATTCAATGAGCCGCCTCGCGGCCTCTGCGTATTTGAAGAGCAGACGCTTGGCTTCCTCCCGGAACTTGATTCGGGATAACCTGGGACCGAGAGCAGGCAGAGTGAGAACCCTTCTATACAGGACTGGCCACACACACCTACCCGCCCCCCCAACCAACCGAGTCGGCCCCAGCTGTGGGCCTGTACCTGATGGGAATGTCATTCATGATTTCACGAAACATGGAAGGTGACACGACCGGTTCACAGTTGCTTGGCAACAGGGGGTCAGAGCCTTTATCCACGACCTTGCGCTCCAGCATCCAGCGGTTGAAAGATTCTCGAGGGGGCTCGATGCCTGCGGAACAGACGAGCTGGTGAAAGCCTGGCTCGGTCAGCGGCCTCCACGTGGGCCCAGCACACGGGGGGGGGGGGGATGCGGGCACCGGAGGGGCAGCAGTAAGGGGCGCTCCGCCTGCAGGCAACATCTCCCCAGGTAGACTCAGAATCGCGAGTTTTCTGCAGAGTGTTACGAAACGTTGCTTGGGAAAAGGGGAAAGGAGAAACACTACATTTCAGCAAAGTCAAGCAGGCTTCTTTACACTAAAGAATAAAAGCCGCAGCTCACTGAGGACTTCCCATTCCACCTCTCCTCCCGGCAGCAATGCATGAGGTGCAGGTACTTTTGGTTCTATGCCCTCTCACAGAGCCACGAAAAGGCTTCGCACGTACCTGACAAACAGTAAGCATTCTGGAAGTGTTAATGATGGCGTCTGCGGTTACTGATGCCAGTCTTTCTGTAAGCAGTTAGCGGAGCTGCGGCTCCAGCAGGCCTGTCCCCTCCACAGCCTGCACTCTCAAGCGCTAGGCTCCACTGCGCCGTTCCCAAGCCCAGCGGGTCAAGCCCGGCTCTTGGCTAAGGGTGGGCGGAAGCAAGGGTCCTGAGGCCCAGGAGGCAGTTACCCTCTCGCTGCTGGCACAGCTCCCGGTAGTGCTGCCGAAGCTTGAGGATGAGCTGGGAGCGAAGCAGCTCCACCTCGGGGTGTGGGGGCAGCACCTCTGAAGGCCCTCGGTGCTTGATGACAGCGTTGGTCTGGATGTCCAGATCCCAGTACACCCTTGGGGCACGGAAAGGAGCAAAGAGGAAAGTAGAGGCAAGGGAGGAGGGGTGCCCTGCCCCCACACCCCATGGTCCCAGGCACGCATGGACGATGGATGCCCCCAAACCAATCAGCAGGGACTCACTCGGTGGGTCGGAGGAAAGCTGCCTGCTGTTTATCTTCGGGGGATGTCCCCCACATCTTCAGCGTTGGGGTTCCTGGGATACTGGGGGAGCTAGGCACTGATGGGCCTGTGGGTGTCACGGGGATTTCAATCTAGAGCAAAAACACAGAAGGCACCGGGGTCAGGAGAGCTGGCCTGCAGCTGCTGCTCTGGCACAGCTCACGAGCTGTGCCCCAGGCCCCCTCCTGACCGACCTGCCGGCTGCCTGCTTGCGGCGGCCGCTCACCACCCACGTCCTCACAGCCCGCAGACGCTCACCTTGGGCTTCTTCACACCATTGCCGCTCGGCTGCTCTTCCGAGAGCTGCCGCTTTCGGGGCTTGTTCTCAGCCGGGGGGGTTTCCACCAAGCTTGAGTCTTGGGGCAGTGGGGTCGCATTCAGCCCCAAAGGGTCCGACTGGTGGAGGGAGACCAGCAGAGTTGCAACGGGGGCCAGTGCCTTAGGAGTCCCAGTATGACAGAATCCTGATGCCCTCCTGCCCCCTGCTCCTACTGCTCCGAGAAGAGCAAAGGGGGCTGAGATGCAGAAAGAACACTGGGCTCCACCCCTGCCTGCCTCTTGAAACTGTGTGACCTTGGGAGAGGTACGTCCCTTCCTAATTCCCTCACCTTCAAAATGGCCATGCCAAACAGGCCCAACCTCCTGTTGGGAAGACGATTCAATGAGTCCATGAATATGACCAGTTTAATAGGACATGTGGCAGAAGAACCCGCTGTACATGTTAATTTCTCTTCCTTAAACACGAGAATGAGAGGAATAAAGGGAAAAACTCAAGAAACGCTTTTTTTTTAAAGAGCAAGACCCCATGGATGAAATTCCTTTGGTGATCCCGAGTATGAGTGATGGTAGGCAGGGTAGCCCTGAAATCACATCAGGTTCGAGTCCAGCTCTGCCTCTTACTGGCTCGAGGTCTTGGGCCAGTCATTTCCCATCTCTGACCCTCAGTGTTTTCATCTGCAAAATGGGGCTGCCAACTGGCTTGATTATGCCCAGTAAGGAAAGTCTGCCCCGCCTGATAGGGATCCAAAAGCACACGTTCCTGCCAGACGGCCCCCTCACATGGACACTGCCATTCCTAGAACGTGCTTCTCCCCTCTGACAACTTTCACTTCACTAACTTTGTCACCTTAAGTGCTAATTCAAGGAGAAGCATTCCCTGTCCCCTCCCCACCCCGTGACTTCATGCACATGCCACACTTCGATCCTACTGTCTCCTCAGTAGACTGTGGGCCCCCTGAAAGTGCAAGGGCAGGACCAGGTCCGTCTTGCTTATAACTGCATCACAGGCACAGTGCCCAACATGGAGTTCAAGTTCAGCATCATACACATTACAATCATCTCTTTACGTGTCAATCTCCCCTATATGAGTGTAGGTTCCATGAGGGCAGGGAGTGTGTCTGTGTGTCATTGTATCCCCAGGTCCCAAGATGGGGCTAGGCGCATAACAGCTGCTCAAGATAGATTTGGGGAAGGCCCAGATGCTAGAAGCTGCTCGGGAGCCCTGCCCTGGGCTGGCACTCACAATCACGTCATGCTGGCCCAGCACAGGCATCTCCCACAGGGACTGGTTGGTGAATCGGTTGAAGTAGTAGGGACGGTTCTCCCTCCGGCTCCAGCACTTCTCCCAACCGGCATGCACCAACTCCTCTGCAAACAAGCATGGAGCCCAGCCAGGGTCAGGGCTGCTCCTGAGGCATCCTTCCTACCCCGCCACCCTACCCTGCCCCTCGCCAGTACCTGGGAGGTCCTGCACCAGGCGGATGGGCTTTGGAGAACAGGGCTGGCTCTGATTGGAGGTGCCTGGGGAGTGACTCAGCAGGGACGCTTCTTCCCGGGGGCTGCCGTGATTCTCATTGGCCATCTCAGCACCCACACCGGACCTGCCACACAGAGGACCAAAGGGTGTCAGGCTAGCAGGGCATGGAGGTCAGCTCCACCCCTCACCCACCAATTACAATCCACTGAGGGCTCCATTGACCACTTGCAGACATGAAGAAATCAATCCAGTCCGGTCCCTGGAGGGCCAGTGTGGTACCAAAGGAGTCCTGGGATCTAAGTCCCAGTTCCCTCAACTGCAAAATGTTGCTCCTTCTGCCTGACATACTCTCCCCAATTCTCCGCCTGGCTTGTCACGATGTTCACATGCTCCAGGAAGTGTTCCTGGACTCTCCACCCAACCCCCCTCCGTGGGGCGATGAACACTTCCACTGTGGCACTCAGTCCTATCAGCTGGGTTTGTCTACCCGTCAGATGGTCAGAACTCCCAAGGCTAGGAACTGGGTCCAGTTCATCTCTCCAGTGCTCAGCAGGGTACCTGGACCCAATAGGAACTCTATTCATTCTGCAAATATTTAGAAAGCACAGAGTGGCACAGAACACAGAACAGGGTCTGCCCTTGAGAAGCGATTCCCACAAAAAAGAACAGGAGGACCTCTTTCCTGTTCCTACCCAATAAAATCTAACTGGAACAGAGTGCAGCCCAGAGGGGACATGGCATCTAAGTGGCTGCCTCATTCTGTGCTTCAGGGCAGGAAACAATCTGTTGCTAAAGAAACCAGTGGGACTGAGAAGAAATACCTAATTCAGTCCTCCCTAATCCCCAGGTGAAATGTACTTTAAATACCAGGAAGCAGGTCAGCTCCTTCAGATTTGTATTCTCCACGACCCCCACCCAAAGCACATCCAGCACAAGCCTCAATGGCCAGTGATTCCTGACCTGGCTGTTAGACTCCTAGGGGCCCAACCGAGATTGGACTGGTGATCCCAAAGTTGTTCTCAAGATGTCACAGCACCCAAAGAAATCAAACATTTACCCACAAAAAGAGCACAAAGGCATGTTGAAACATCAGTTATCTTTGCTTGCTGAAATTTTATCAACTCGTTGTGGTCACACTGATTATCTCATGATGATCAGAAGCTCTGATTGGCTGTTGACAACATCATAGGAATCACTGGGACATTAATTTTATTTGTACAGTCATAGATATCTTCGTTAATTTGGAAAGGGAAAAGTGAGCGATTATTTCGTCGGTACAGTTTGGCAGTAAAAACGCACAGAGCAAGAGGGCATACATACAACCAAAGGGGGCCGTGATAACAGAAAGATTCGGAACCACTAACCGAGGGGAGAAAAGGCTTGATTCTCTGGGGAGGAGGGATTCCCGGTGCCTTGGGGCTGAGCCCATATGTCTTAAGCCTGCAAAAGGTCCCTCTTTTTCTCACCCTCTGGGGTCTGCAATGCTAGCATGAGAGGGTTTTCTTCTCCGACCGGATGGACCCCCACGTCACAGGATCCCAGAGGCAGGGGGAAGGCCTGCAGGAAGGCTCAGCACGGGTGGGTGGGCTGGTCAGCAGTGGAGTGGACGGGGGCCCAGGGAATTCCTTGCATCAGCAACTGCAGAGCAAAGAGAAGAGAGAGTCACAGACCTGTGAAATGCTGCAGCACACGCACAACAGCAAGAGGGGCAACGACACAGAGCAAGTTGGGAGCCCCCAGGACAGGGCAGGGGACACTGTGGGAGATCTGGGGATTTATGGGACGAAAATGATACTTCCCAAACTTTGCAAACCAAAAGGTTCACCTTCACGGACTTGCAGCCTGCAGTCACACAGGCCCCGTGTTGAGGAGGGCCCTAACTGGTTTCATGCTCTATGGTTGTGGTCTTGAAGTTTTCAATACACTTTTAATAAGCAGGCCCATGTTTTCGTTTTGCACGCTGGACCCCACAAATTGTGTAGCTGCTCCTATCAACCAAAATATCCCTAAGCCAAGAGAAAAGTGAACATACCATTTGGCCCTTGAACAACACAGGTCTGAACCGTGTGGGTCCACTTACACAGTTTTCCCAATACAATGTGCTACTATAAATGTATTTACGCTTCCTTATGATTTCCTTAGTAACAGGTGCTCTTCCTTAGCTGACTTTATTGTACGAATACGTTGTGTAATACACATAATATACAAAACACGTGTTCATCCACTACCTATGTTACCACTAAGGCTTCTGGTCAACAGGAGGCTATTAGTAAAGTTGTGGGGAGCCGAAAGTTCTACTGGGATTTCCAACAGTGCCGGGATCGGTGCCCCTAACCCCTATGTTATTCATGGGTCAACTGTACGTATCAGATCCCGGGGGCATGCTCCCAAGCCACCCACAGTGAGTGAAAAACACACTTCTTTGAATCGATCTTTTAAAACCACAATAATCATACATGCAAATGCATTATGTAACACAGCATGTTCATCTTTATTGACAGTTTCCCCAACAAATATCGTGTGACACTGATACAGTAACTGAACTACGCAGAGACAGCAAGAACAGCACAGCTGAGAGGCCAAATGGGGACACTGCGGTGTTTTCAAAGCCAACTGTGCATCTCGAGGGCTTGTAAAACAATTCAGATTCCTGTCCCTTACTTCACGTCCTAGGAGTCGGGAATGGGGAAGGGAGATTCATCTCACAAGAATTTGTATTTTTTAAACACACCCCAAAAGGGAGGCCTGGCAAACGGGATGACAAATTTTACACCGCTTCAAACCTTTACCAATTTTTTACGATTAAAAAAATTTTCTTAATTTCCCAGGTGATTTGGAAGCAGCAGGTCGGCGGCCAAAGAACCGGCTCTGGGTTTGGGCAGACCCGGGGTCCAGGTCCTTCTACCGCTTTCCGACTTACAAACAGGAATCATTCGACCTCTGTGGTCTCTATACGTAGAGTCTAGCGTATTGTACACTTTAAGTAATTAATAACTCTATTATTAAGGTAATGTTTTATTTATCCAAAGGCTTCCCAGGCCCCGCGCATACCGCAGTCTGAAAGCGCCGACCAGCTTAATAACTGTATCTGCGCAACCGGAGGAACCCACCAGAAGGAAAAGAACCTGGTTACGGGATTGGAGAAAGATGAGGCGGGACCATCTCAGTAACGCACCAATCAGAACCCTCTGAATCAGGAGGGCGGAGTCAAAGGACTGGCAAAATGCGCAGGCGCGGGGGCCTCTCAAGGAGGGGGCTCCCCCCCACACACACACCCGAGCGCGCGCACACCTTCCCCTCCCCCCAAACCCAGCGGGGGCGGGCTGTTTGGCGCGCGCGCGCCGGCCCATCTCTCGGGCTCCGCCCCCCGCCCCACCGCGCGCTCCCGCCCCCGGGCTGAGGCGACTCAGAGTCGGAGCCCGACACAAAGGCGGTGGCGGCGGCAGCAGCGGAGGGGCCCTAGAGGCCGCTCCGCCCGCGCTCTCCGGGCCCAGCTCCCTCACCCAAGCTACCGGCCCGGCCGCCCACCCGCGGGCCTAAGATGGCGGCGGCGGCAGAGACAGGGCAAGCGGTGGCCCCGAGCGGAAAGCGCCAGAGGGGCCACCGCTGCCCGGCTTCGGATCCTCGGACCCCGGAGCGGCTCGCGGCGGGACCATGGCTTCCTGGGGTTCTTACCTGCCCGGAGCGGACTCGAGGGGACGCGGCTACACGTTCTGCTCGACCTCCCGTTTTGCCGCCTCCGCCTCGCCCTCCCCAGCGCCGCTGCCGCCATCTTGTGTCCCGGGCCGGGACTCCGCGCTGCGCATGCGCTGGTACCGCCTCTGAGGGACCTCGCCGCTGCCGCGCCGCCATCTTGAGTGTGGCAGGACCGGCTGACTCCACAGACCCGGCTTGCTTTCGCGCCCCCTCCCCTTCCTCCTGTTCTTCCCTGTTGTTCCATGCGGGTCTCAGGAGGGCTCGGCAGCTTTGCGGTTTGTGGGGTGTAGACGGAGGCAGGAACGAGCTCACAGGCACGTTCCCTGCCTCAGTTTCCCTCCGCGAGCACACCCGCCAGGGTTGGAGGACTTGGGTGGGAGGCGCACCGCCTGGGCCGGACTGAGAGTGCGCACCGGGGGGCGCGGGGCGGGCTGGGAACCTGCGGGCGCTCGGCAAAGACGCCGAGCCGGGGGCGGAGTTGTGACGCTGCTCTGGGCGTGGCAGGGACCTGGGTCCTAGCTCCGGCGGGGCTCTGCCACTTAAACGTCCAGTGGCTTTCCCTCTCTGGGCCGCTGTCAAGAATGTTTTCCAGCCATTTTCCATGTCCAAGATGCAAGCAAATCGAACCTTCTTCCACTGTGAGGCTACATAAGTTACAAGTGTTCTTGAGTAGAAGAAACTCAAAACAGCCGTGGGAGACATAATGAAGGGCTTTGGCAAATTTAGGAAATTATTAATTAAACGCATCAGAGAGGCTCTCCCAACACTGACATACCTATGGCTACTAGTTGCGGTGCTAAGCCGCACTGAGCTCAGACCGGCCACCAAAGTTAGGCCAGCAGGAGCTGCAGTTGCTAGGTACCCCACGCCCGGCTCCCTGCAGGATTCTTGGGTAGGGGCGGGCCGACTCGCTAGCTCCACCTCTCTCGGGCCGCCTTAGTAAACTGACCTCTCAACCGCAGTAGCTTCAGAGGAATACGAGGTTGCCACCTGCTTGTTGGCCTGACGCTTCCCAAGCGGAGCCAGAGGCTGCAGGTACCCCAGCTGGGCAGCAGCCTCTGCCGTCCGCGGTACCTGGCCAACGTGCAGCCAGGTGGGGTTGGGAGTGTCAACAAAACCGGAGGCAATAGTATGAACTAGGGTATTCATCAGTCCGGCTAGGTTTAGAGCCCTGCTCCTCCATCCTAGATGTGTGGCCTTGAGGGAGTTGTTGGACCTCTTGAAGCTTTAGTTTCCTCTAATGAAAGGTAAGTCCGCCTGCCTCATAAAGGTTTGGTGAGAATTAACTGGGATGATGCCTGTAAAGTACTCAGCACATGTGGTACCTGGCATTTAATAAACGTTAGCTATTATCGCTTCACAGGGTTATGAGGATTGCCCCAAGTAGCTTTTGAGCCCTCCAAAAATAAACCTGCCCCATATAGGCACCATAGGTGAAGCCAATCCTGCCCTCACAGAGCCTCCAGTTCGCTCGGGAAGCTTAATAGGAAATCGGATGCCTGGTCTCCACCTCAGACCTACATAGGGGACCACATGTTCTGCTCGCCCTGGGACAGTCTTGATTTATGGCTGCTGTCCTGGCATAATTATTAATACTGTCTTCTTTCTCAGAAGTGCCCTGGTTTGCACGATAAATTATACGGTCACTCTAGACTTACAGATTGCCCAGTTTTGCAAGCTCCACAGCTAGTTCTTATTAAAACTGGAGTGTAAAAACCATATAGTCATTGCTGTCTGTTCTTGCTTTTATGCTTTCAAAGTATCATTTCATTTGCTGCTCAGAGTCTCACAACCCAAATGCCTATTCCTATTTTACCATATAATCCTCTCCAAGAACTCTGAGAGTAGAAATGATTATCTCAAGTCTACCCATGGGCAAACCGAGGCTGCAGGGAAGGGTCAGGGGTCAAGTAATTGTACGAAGTAATATGAAGTATTAGAACTGGGGTCTTGAGGCCAGGGTTCCCAGCATCAAAACCCAAAGCCAATTCCATGAAACCACACTGCTTCCCTCTCTTGTGGAGAAGGGAATTTGGACTTTAGGGAAGTGACTTGCCTGAACTCACACCGCAGTCCCGGACAGCTCCACTTCAGACTCACAGTGTCAAATGAACACTGCTCTTCGCCTTCATCTGCCTCCTCAGACTGGTTCCTTCCAATGCACTCCTCATATCTCCCTTCTCCTTGCTTTCCACATACAGTCAAAACCAGCCTCTTCTTTCCATCCCCTTTCCTACTACCATAGAGCAAGACCCATTATTTTTGAAACCTTCTTGTTAAGAATAGCACACATACAGGGGCGCCTGGCTGGCTCAGTTGTTAAGTGTCTGCCTTCGGCTCAGGTCATGATCCCAGGGTCCTGGGATCAATCCCCGCATCGGGCTCCCTGCCTGGTGGGAAGCCTGCTTCTCCCTCTCCCACTCCCCCTGTTTGTGTTCCCCCTCTTACTGTGTCTCTCTCTGCCAGATAAATAAAATCTTAAAAAGAATAGCACACATACAGAAAAGTGCACAAAACGGAAATGTAAACCTTCATGATCTGTCACAGAGCGAATACCCAGGTGAACATCACTCAGGTCGAGGTATCATCAAGCACAGTGTAATCACCACTAATTTTGTGATAATCATTTCTTTGCTTGTATAGTTTTACCACCTAAGTGTGTATCCCTAAACACTATAGTTTCATTTTGCCTGTTCCTTGAACTGTATACAAATGGAATTACACAGTCCTATGTTGCGTTGGCCTTCTTTTGCTCCACATTGCACTTGCAAAATCCATTTATGTTGTTGCATGTAGCTAGAGTTCATTTTCATTGCTGTATTCTGTCTTCCAATGCATATTTATCTATTCACCTGTTAGGAGATATTTGAAGCGCCCCCACCCCATACGTCCTTTCTGAATTATTATAGATAATAGTAATTAATGACAAAATAATTATATTTAAATAAATAATGAGTTAATCCATTGATTAATTGTGTAAATATTTGAATGAATGAATGAGTGAATAATAAGACCAGTCTCCAAACTGCTCTTCCTGTCCTCCAGCCTTGCTTCTCTCCTAGTCCATGATCTCCCCTGCAGTCACAGAGATCTCTTTAAATCTGGTCATATGGCAAATCTGATCAAGTCACCCTGGGCTTAAAACCCTTGACTATCTCCCCACTGACTGCAGGATGAAGTCCCAAAACCCTTAACTTGGTTTACAAGGTCATAATTATAATGAGAGCTACCATGGCAGAGCATTTAGTATGGTTGTGCCGAGCACTTGATATACATTCATGTTGGGGCGCCCGGGTAGCTCAGTCGGTTAAGCAGCTGCCTTCGGCTCAGGTCATGATCCCAGGGTCCTGGGATCGAGCCCCGCATCGGGCTCCTTGCTCAGCGGGCAGCCTGCTTCTCCCTCTGCCTCTGCCTGCTGCTCCCCCTGCTTGTGCTCTCTCTCTCACTATCTCTCTCTCTGTGTCAAATAAAAATAAATGAAATCTTAAAAAAAAAAAAAAAGATATACATTCATGTTATTCATGATCCAGACCTTCAAACCACCTCTCCTTCATCAGACCGCAGCCATCTTGAACTACGGGTAATTTCCCCAGAGGTGCCAGGTTCTCTCTGACCTTGGGCCTTTGCATATGCTGTTTGCTCTCACTCTTCCTCCCCAATTGGACTCATTCAGCCCTCAAGCCTTACTTGAAAATTTCATTTATTTTTTATTGGGGGGGGGGTTGAGGGGAGGGGCAGAAAGAGAAGGAGAGAGAATCTCAAGCAGACTCCCTGCTGAGCACAGAGCCCGATGTGGGGCTCGGTCTCACAACCCTGAGACCATGACCCGAGCCGAAACCAAGAGTCAGATGCTTAACCGACTGAGCCACCCCGGTGCCCTCTTCAAGTCTTACTTTAGATGTCACCTCCACCAGGCAGCCTTCCCAGAGCTCACCTTCACCCAGGCTAGGGCAGGCCCCCTCTTCTGTATTCCTATAGCAGCCTGTGCTCAGTGAACTGCTCAAGGGCGGGGCTGGGGCTTGTTCACATCTATAGCGCCCATACCCAGTGCTGTGCCTGGCCCTCTGTAAATATTTGTTGACCATGGACAGCCCACACTGGGTTGAAGCCTGGGTGACTTTTTCCAGGTATCCCTGTTTCTATTCCAGGCTCTGGTTTCTGTGGTGGGCACACCAAGGCAGCGCCCTTTGAGATGCCAAGAAAAGCATGAGCTGCCTGCCATGGCAGATCCCTGCCAGCAGCCTGGGGTCCTCTCTCCCAAGATAGGGATGAGCAGGTCAAGCAAAGATCCTGGGGCTTTCAAGCACTCCATCAACTTTTCTGAAGAAGCCTCGTGAGTTGGAAGAGATGGTTGAGATAAGCAGGGCTCCTCCAGCTTTAGCCAATCCTGGTTGGGAGCCTGCTGGCTGAGCCTCTGAGGACCTCAGCCTCAACTCAGGACAAAGCCCAGTCTCCATATTAAAGCAGAAACATAAACATACAGGGGTGCCTGGGTGGCTCAGTCATTAAGCGTCTGCCTTCGGCTCAGGTCATGATCCCAGGGTCCTGGGATCGATCCCCGCATCAGGTTCCCTGCTCGGCAGGAAGCCTGCATCTCCCTGTCCCACTCCCCCTGCTTGTGTTCCTGCTCTTGCTATCTCTCTCTCTGTCAAATAAATAAATAAATAAAATCTTTAAAAAAAGAAACATAAACATACAGGCTCAGGCTGCCACATACCTTCACCCACTTGATCTTTGCCCTTACAGCAGGAAGCTGTTGAGAGGGAACCACACATCTCAACCCCTGAGGTCCTGGCAGTCAGGGAAGGGAGGCTCCAGTGTGATCCTGATCAAGGCTGCCCCCACCCAGGTCTGGCCAAAGCTGCCCACAGACTCTGTTCTGCAGTTTAAATAAGACTAAGGCAGTTTCTGAGGCCAGTGGGCCTGGCCCCAGGGAAGCTGCGGAAGAAAGTCTTCCACCCCAAACTGTGGCTTCCACTGGGAGTGGCTCTCTGACCATTCTGGGGCCAGATGAGAGAAGCCATTTAGGCCAAGAATAGACAAGGGGAGTGGGGCGTTTCCTCTGGTCTTCCTGGTCCTGTAAGTGTCTGATGTGGTGTCATACTCCCCTCCATTTCTTCCTTGGGCTGGGCACGGTATGTGGTGGGGCCTGCCCCAGAACCTTGAGAACCAGAGAGAAATAAGACAGACTCTTTGTCCTCAGGCTGCTCACAGAGGAGGCAGACATATCAATAAACCCTTTGCTCCAGGGAGCTAAGGATTCTGCTGGGCTGACTGGGGGGCGGGGGGGGGGGAGTGCTGCAAAAGAGAAGGCTTCAGAAGAGATGGCAATGAGCTGACGCTTGCTGGAAGGGTAGGACTTTCCAGGTGGGCAAGGATACAGCCTGTGCCAAGGCCTGGAGGGGTGGAAAGGGGTGGCGTGGTGGGGGAACTCGTCAGGCAACGGGGAAGGTGCAGGTC